GGATTTATCAGGTTAGACCCACACATGAAGTGCCCAGAGGACATACCTTTTCCCACAGTGGTGAGGAACAAATTTTTAAAGGGACCCCCAGCATCTTTGAAGACTGCTATGATGCTGATTTATGTAAGTCAGATTTGACAGTGGGAACTGCCCTAACTGAATTAAAACACCTAACAACAAGGGGGCTCATTGGAGCCCGTGGTGGTAGGGACCAAGTGGCAGTACTTAATTGACAGAGACAAGGTGGGCATGGTTACCATAATAGACAGCGGAGTCAAAGCAGTACTCAGAATAGTCTGATTTGTATGAACTTACAGCATTCGCTACTGTCATGGTATCCCTAGGAGTGAAATAGATAGGAAATCAACTAAATATTTACTTGTTCTATACAAGTGGAAGAATTCTAGGTCAAGTGAACAGTAGTCACACTCAGATCCCCAAAATAGAGAGTCATGGCCCCTCAATCAATTCCCAGACTTGAGCAAGTTTAAAGACTCACAATCCCTTGAATGAAGGGAAGCTGGGTCCCCTGGAGGAAGGACTTCAATACACTGCCAAAACCTTATACGGTTAATCTTTCTCCCAGCCTTCCCCAAAGGGATCTATGGCCTTTTACTAGAGTGACTGTTCATTGGGGAAAAGGAAATAATCAGAATTTTGGGGGATTACTGGATACTGGCTCTGAAATGACACTAATTCCAGGAGACCCAAAACATCACAGTGGCCCACCAGTCAGAGTGGGGGCATATGGAGGTCAGGTTATTAATGAATTCTTAACTCATGTCCATCTCACAGTAGGTCCAGTAGTGATGTTCCCAGTTCCAGAATGCATAATTGGAACAGATATACTCAGCAACTGGCAGAACCCCCACATTGGATCCCTGACAAATAGAGTAAGGGCTATTATGGTAGGAAAAGCCAAGTGGAAGCCATTAGAACTGCCCCTACCTAGGAAAATAGTAAACTAAAAGCAGTACCACATTCCTGGAGGGATTGCAGAGATTACTGCCACCATCAAGGACTTGAGTGATGTAGGCAGGAGTGGTGATTCCCACCACATCCCCTTTCAACTCACCTATTTGGCCTCTGCAAAAAACAGATGGATCTTGGAGAATGACAGTGAATTATCGAAAACTTAACCAAATGGTGACTCCAATTGAAGCTACAGTTCCAGATGTAGTTTCATTGCTTGAGCAAATTAATACATCTCCTGGTACCTGGTATGCAGCTGTTTGTCTGGCTAATGCCTTTTTCTCCATACCTGTTTTCAAGGACCATCAGAAGCAGTTTGCCTTCAGTTGGCAAGGCCAGCAATACACCTTCTATTGCCTACCTCAGGGCTACATCAACTCTCTAGCTATGTCATAATGTAGCCTGCAGGGACCTTGATCACCTTTCCCTTCGACAAGACATCACACTGATATATTACATTGATGACATTATGCTGTTTGGACCTATAAGGAAGACATGTCAATGACTCTGGACTTAACTGGTAAAACAGTTGCATGCTAGAGGGTGGGAAATTAATCCACAAAAATTCAGAAGCCTTCCATCTTAGTCAGATTTCTAGGGGTCCATGTGTGGAGCATGTCGAGATATTCTTTCTAAAGTGAAGGATAAGTTATTGCATCTGGCTCCTCCCATAACTAAAAAGGAGGCACAATGCCTAGTGGGCCTCTTTGGATTTTGGAGGCAACATATTCCCCATTTGGGTATTCTACTTGGCCTGTTTATCAAGTGATTCGAAAAGCTGCTAGTTTTGAGTGGGGCCAAGAATAAGAGAAGGCTCTGCAACAGGTTCAGCCTGCCGGCAAGCCACTCTGCCACTTGGGCCATATGATCAGCTTATCCAGTGGTGCTTAAAGTGTCAGTGGCAGACAGAGATGCTGTTTGGAGTCTTTAGCAGGCCCCTACTGGTGACTCACAGCACAGACCCTTAGGTTTTTGGAGCATAGCCCTGCCATTCTCTGCAGATAACTCCTCTCCTTTTGAGAAACAGCTTTTGGCTTGTTACTGGACCTTAGTAGAGACTGAACACTTAAGCATGAGCCACCAAGTCAGCATGCAGCCTGAGCTTCCCATCAAGAACTGGGTGTTGCCTGACCCACAGAGTCATAAAGTTGGATGTGCACAGCAGCACTCCATCATTAAATAAAAGTAGTATATATGAGATTGGGCCTGAGCAGGAACTGAAGGCACAAGTAAGTTGCATGAGGAAGGGGCCCAAATGCCCATGGTCTCCACTCCTGTCACATTACCTTCCATCTCCCAATCTGCAGCTAAGGCTTCGTACGGAATTCTTATGATCAGTTGACTGAAGAAGAGAAAACTCATGCTTGGTTTACAGATGGTTCTGCGCAATATGTAGGCACCACTTGAAAGTGGATAGCAGCAACACTACATCCCCTTTCTGGGACCTCCTTGAAAGACAGTGGTGAAGGGAAATCATCCCAGTGGACAGAACTTTGAACAGGGCACCTGGTTGTTCACTTTGCTTGGAAAGAGAAATTGCCAGATGTGCGATTATATACTGATTCATGGGCTGTGGCCAGTGGTTTGGCTGGATGGTCAGGGACTTGGAAGGAGCATGATTGGAAAATTGGAGACAAGGAGATATGGGAAGAGGTATGTGGATAGACCTCTCTGAATGGGCCAAAGAAGTGAAGATATTTGTGTCTCATGTGAATGCTCCCCAAAGGGTGATCTCAGCAGAGGAGGATTTTAACAATCAAGTGAATAGGATGGCGCATTCTGTGGAAACCACTCATCATCTTTCCCTAGCCATCCCTGTCATACCTCAGTGGGCTCATGAACAAAGTGGCCATGGTGACAGGGATGGAAGTTATACATAGGCTCAGCAACATGGACTTGCATTCACCAAGGCCGACTTGGCTACAGCCACTGCTGAGTGCCCAATCTGCCAGCAACAGAGACCAACACTGAGTCCCCCATATAGCAACATCCTTTGAGGTGATCAGCCAGCAACCTGGTGGCAAGTTGATTACATTGGGCCACTTCCATCATGGAAAGGGTGGCGTTTAATTCTTACTGGAATAGACACTTACTCTAGATATGGATTTTCTTTCCCTGCATGCAGTGCTTCTGCCAAAACTACCATCTGTGGACTTACAGAATGCCTTATCCACCATCATGATAATCCCACACAGCATTGCCTCAGATCAAGGGAGTCACTCCACAGCAAATGAAGTGTGGCAGTAGGCCCATGCTCATGGAATTCACTTGTCTTACCATGTTCCCCATCATCCTGAAGCAGCAGGATTGATAGAATGATGGAATGGCCTTCTAAAGGCACAATTATGGTGCCAGCTAGGTGGCAGTACCTTGCAGGGTTGGAGCAATATTCTCCAGGAGGCTGTATATGCTCTAAACCAGTGTCCAATGTATAGTGCTGTATCTCTCATAGTCAAGATTCATGGGTCCAGGAATCGAGTGGAAATGGGAATGGCACCACTCACTATTACCCCTAGTGACCCATGCGCAAAATTTTTGTTTCCTGTCCCCGTGAGCCTATGCTCTGAAGGTCTACAGGTCTTAGTTCCAAAGGGAGGAATGCTCTCACCTGGAGACACACCACTGATTCCATTAAAGTTACTAATGCCATGTGGCCACTTTGGGTTCCTTATGCCTGTGGATCAGCAGGCAAAGATGGGAGTTACCATACTAGCTGGTGTCATGTATCCTGATTACCAAGAAGAAGTTGGGTTGATATTACTTAATGGAGGTAAAGAAGAGTATGTCTGGAATGCAGGAGATTCCTTAGGGCTTCTCAGTACTACCATGCCCAGTGATTAAAGTCAATGGAAAACTCTAGCAACCCAATTTGGACATGACTGCTCATGGCCCAGACCCTTCAGGAATGAATGTTTGGGTCACCCCACCAGGCCGAGAACCACGACCAGCTGAGGTACTTGCTGAGAACGAAGGGAATATGGAATGGATGGTGGAAGAAGATAATTCTAAATACCAGTTATGACCACGTGACCAGTTGTAGAAACAAAGATTGTAATTGTTATGAGTATTTCTGCCTTGTATGTGTGCATTAAATATTTTTGTTTTCTTCACATGTAAAGTGTAAGATGTAAACAGGGCTAGTGTGTTTTTGGTTGTACATGTGTTAGTTGTATCATGTTAGGTGCATGTATGACTTTATAAATTGTCTTTATTCAGAGATTATGTATGGTTTAAGGAGATGTGTACAGTGCCAAGTTGACAAGGGGTGGACTGTGATCATTAAGGTTGTGTGTCAGTTTGGCTGGGCCATGATTCTCTGGTTTCGCAGTTATGTAGTTTGGTAGTTGTATGATGATGTGATCACTTCCATGATGAAATCTGATATAATGTAATCACCTCCATGATGGGATCTGCTGTGAGTAGCCAGTCAGTTGAAGGGGAGTTTCCTTGGGGATGTGACCTGCCATCGAATGCAGGTGGACTTCCTGGCAAGGCCCGCGCGGGCTTTTGCTTGCTCTGGATCTTGCATCTGGCTCCTGTTTGTCTGACCTCTTGTTCTTAGGACTTTAGCTAGCAGCTTGCCTGCTGTCTTGCCTGCCGATTGGGATTCGTCGGTCTTTGCAGCCTGTGAGCAAAAACCCTGCTATCTGACGTGCTGATCTTGGGTTAGCCAGCCCCTGTGGCTGTGTGAATCAGGAGAAGCCTGCAGCCTACCCACAGACTGGGGAGGTTCCAGCCTCTACAGCCATGTGAGCCATTTTCTTGATACAAATGTCTCTGTATATATTTATGTGGTTTACGGGTTTTGCTTCTCTAGAGAACTCATCCTAAGACAGGGCTTTTAGATTATTTCTAATTGTTTATTCCTATGAATAGCATTGTTTTAGAATTTGTGTGAAAGCCTGAAATTCCTAGGGTATTTAAAATAATGATATCTTTATATATATTTCCTTCGTGTGATTTGCTTTCTAGGTCATGGTTCGATATCTGATATGCTGATAATTTTATTTCATTTCTTTTTTCTCTAGGCAAGACTTCAGCAGTATATGGTCACAACAGATGAGCAAATTATATCACTCACACATGCCATTAAGAATTGTCCTGTGATAAATAACAACAGAGAAGAAAATCAAGCATCAAAAAGGGGAGCCATGAGTCGAAGAATTATGGACAATCCAGGTGAGTGTGATTTTAGTATTTCAGACTGGCAGTTAAAATACTTATGGCCCTAGAGTAAACAGTCAAACAAAGCCCTAAACTTGTATGGAGTTATATTGGTTGTTCATGCATATATAATATTACCACTGCTACAGTTGCAACTACAATTTCCAGCTTATATTTATTGGATACTCGCTTTATGCCAGGTACTTTTTGTGTGTGTGCTTTAAGAGAAAGTTTACAGTTCAAGTGAGTCTCTCATACAAAAATTTATACACACTTTGTTATGCAACCCTAGTTGCTCTCCCTAGAATGTGACAGTGCACACTCCTCCTTTCCACCCCAGATTTCCCGTGTCCATTCAACCAGCCCCTGTCCCTTTTTGCCTTCTCATCTCGCCTCCGGACGGGAGCTGCCCATTTAGTCTCATGTATCTATTTCAGCTAAGAAGCACTCTCTTCATGAGTATCATTTTATGTCTTATTGTCCAGTCTAATCTTTGTCTGGAGAGTTGACTTTGGGAATGATTTCAGTTCTGGGCTAACAGAGAGTCCAGGGGCCATGTCTTCCGGGGTCCCTCCAGTCTCAGACCATTAAGTCTGGTCTTTTTACTAGAATTTGAGTTATGCAGCCCACTTTTCTCCTGCTCCATCAGGGACTCTCTATTGTGTTCCCTGTCAGGGCGGTCATTGGTGGTAGCCAGGCACCATCTAGTTCTTCTTTTCTCAGGCTGATGAAGTCTGGTTTATGTGGCTCTTTCTGTCTCTTTGACTAATATTTAACTTGTGTCTTTGGTGTTCATTCTTTGCTCCAGGTGGATTGGGACCAATTGATGTATCTTAGATGGCCGCGTGCTAGCTTTTAAGTCCCCAGATGCCACTCACCAAAATGGAATGCAGAACATTTTCTTAATAAACTTTCTTATGCCAGTTGACCTAGATGTCCCCTGAAACCATGGTCCCTAGACCCCCGTACCTGCTACTCTGTCCCTCAAAGTGTTTGGTTGTATTCAGGAAACTTCTTAGCTTTTGGTTTGGTCCAGTTATGCCAGGTACTTTTTAAGTGTTTTACATATATTATTTAATTTTCATAATAGTCTTATGAGGTAGATATTATTGTTATCCCCACTTTTTAGATGAGAATACTGAGGCTTAGAGAGGATTGTTAACTTAGCAAAGTCATGCAGATAGAAAGCAGCCGAATTGGCTACCTAGAGCAGTGTGACTTTAGTGCCAGCACCATTAATCACAGTGCCCTAGGTTCAGGAGAAGAAGGGATGGTTTTGGAAAGGAAAAAAAAAGAAAAGTACTAAATTTTAAAAATTCATAACTTTTTTTCATTTTTGGTGATGTTGTTTTGAAATCCTTTCTTCACCTTGTATGCCATCATGGGCCTTAGACTGAATAGGACGTTTAGACTTTTTCATGTTTTTTACTCTTAAGTAATACTTCGGTGAGTGTCTTTGTGTGGGAAGTTTTGTGTATTTAGGAGTGATTTCTTAGAGTGGATTCTAAGAAGTGACAAGTAACTGACTAAAATTTAGTTGCATGAGATCAACTCCGTGTTTGGAGCAGTTCTCTGTCTTCTTCTAGAGGAGTCTTGCTGTTAATGTCTCAGTCAAGGAGTATATTAGTGCTTTATTCTTATGTGGCTTATACTTCACTACTGAAGACAGTTTTACTTATAGAAGGTCTCTGGGTGGCACAAATGGTTTGCACTTGACTATTAACCTAAAGGTTGATGGTTCGAACCTACCCAGAAGCTCCATGGAATATATTCCTGATGATCTGCTTCTGTAAAGATTATAGCCAAGACAAGTATATACATGAGACTAAATGGGCAGCTCTTGTCTGGAGGTGAGATGAGAAGGCAGAGAGGGTCAGGAGCTGGTTGAATGGACACGGGAAATCAGGGGTGGAAAGGAGGAATGTGCTGTTGCAGTATACAGCAATTAGGGAGAGAAATTAGGGTCACATAAGAATGTATGTATAAATCTTTGTATGAGAGACTACCTTGAATTGTAAACTTTCACTTAAAGTACAATAAAATGAAATTTAAAAAAAAAAAGAATCCAGGATTACAGCCAAGAAAACCTTATGAAACAATTCTTCTCTGTAACACATGGGGTCACCGTGAGTCTGAATTGACTTGATGGCAACAGGTTTATAGATGAGAAGGGCTGGGAGTGAGTGTATTATAAGTTATTGTTTATTATTGTTATTGCCTATGGAAAAAATGAGAAAGATTTATACAGATAAAACCAATTTAGTGTCTTCCTGAGTGTTATGGATTGAGTCACATCCCCCAAAAATATGTGTTGTAAATCCTAACCTCTATGCCAGTGGTTATAATCCCATTTGGAAATGGGTTGTCTTTGTTATGTTACGAGGCAGGATTACTATAGGGTATATATTGAGTTAATCTCTTTTGAGATATAAAAGAGATTAAACAATCGAGCAGAGGAGAGATGGGGGAACATAGATGGCAAGACACATGGAGATCTCCAAGGAAACAGGAAGCAGAAGCTGAAAAGACAAGGACTTTCCTCCAGAGCCAACAGAGAGAGAAAGGCTTCCCCTAGAGCTGGTGCTCCAGGTTTAGACTTCTAGCCTCTAAACTGTGAGAAAATAAATTTCCGTTTGTTGAAACCATCCACTTGTGGTATTTCTGTTATAACAGTGCTAGATAACTAAGACACTGAGTCTCAGCTCTTGTAACCTTTTTTAAGTAATAGAGAATGTGAGTATTCTGTGATGATGCGTGACTTGTGAAATTACCTTGTTTTATAATGAGCCTTGTATATGGAAGTAGTGGGTTAATACACCCCATTCTTGCCATTTTGTTATTTGTCGTGACTGTTAGAAAGCTGTCCATAACAAATAATGCAAACTTCTAAATGCCAGATAAGATTTCTTGGGAGTCCCAAAGTGGCTTTTCAGAATCCTTGTTTTGTGTGGCTTTGGGACTCTCAGTGCTTTTCTCAAAGATAGCAATTTCTTCTCAGTTCTGGTTCCACGTGAGCTTCGAATATGAATTGTTGGCAAAAAGGGATATAGCCTAGAAAGTGAAGGGTCTAGAGGTTTTGTGGGTTTTGTACTTTACTGAAATGTGTCCATAGTCCCTTTTTGTTTCTTAAATACTAATAGCCTCTCATTTTCTTCAGAGGGTCCAGTTGTAAATGCTGATGTCTCCAGTCCATTGATGTTCAGAGGGGATGAAGTGGTTGAATTGCCACAAGAGGAGCTGCCTGTCAAACTGTCTCAGGTGCCAAACCAGCCTGATAGTGGGACTCTGGCCAGCAGTTTTCCAGCACAGATGTTTGAGCCAGCTGTGTTGTTAACACCACCCAGGCAGAAGAGCAGCTCCGAGTTCTCTCCTCTGCAGGATGGTAAGCAGGCTTCTTCTACAGTTATAAGGCAGTGTTTTTTATGCTTCACATACGTCATTTATTCTGTTCATTGTTACTTGATAAACAAAATTTAAAAAGACATTCCCCATGTAATCTTTAAGCTAAAGGAGGAATTTTCAGGGTGGTTTGTATCATGCACGTTACACCTACGGTGAAGTGTGACATTGAATTTCATTATGTATCTGTTCCATTAGACATTATAAATATTAAGCTCTGATCAAAGGATCTAAGCTTTTAGCATTAAGATGCAGAGTAAGGAGAATCCCCTTTGTCCCTGTGGTCCAGGAACATATGAGGGAGTGAGAAACAAGAGGAGACTATACTCCAGAGAGCAGTGAAAGTTCTACCAAGGAAGGTGAGAACTGTGACTTTAAGGATTTTGTAAGTCATGTCTGGTCATCATATTAACTTCTCTCATCAAAAGTTTTCAAGTCAGTCAGTTGAGATTTTATAATGAAAGGCAATGGACAGTTAAAAGCTTTAGAGTCATTTTTGCTGCACAATGTAGAGTTTTGAATAAAATCTTAAAAATTTATTGTTACTTTTTAGCTCAGGTCTTCAGAAGGTCCACGGACTGCTTCACTGACTGGAAAAATGTTGTTTGTCTGAATATGCATTTTTCTGGAGCTATAACTTTCATTTGATTTTACAAAGAGTCCTTTAGTCAAAAGAGTTAAGAACCTCTGTCTTAGACTCTCCTCCAAAATTTTCAGAAAGTATTAATTCAGCCTTGATTTGCCAGAATTTTCATTTCTTTAAAAAGATGGTTGGATACTCTCATATAGGGAAACAGAAAAGTAACTTTTGTTGTCATTGGGACATACAAATTTTGTCACATTTTCTGCACTTTGATGTATGTTTAGAATAGAGGCCATGAAGAAGCCATAAAAGGTGAAGAAAATGACACCTTACTGTTCTAAAGTTTATTTTGGCATTTATAGTACAGATGTCGAGTCTGTCACATCAGCGGGGTAGTGGAGACGGTGCCTGGCTGACGGCCAGTGCTGGCCTCTTGGTCTGCTCATCCGCCGACTAGCTGTGAGGCATGGTGCTAACACACTTACTTTCTCTGGGTGTTAGTTTCCTTATCTCTAAAATGAGAGAGTTTTTCTTATTTTTAATGTCCCTTGCAGCTCTGCAGTATCTTGTGATTCAGTATTTCCTCTTTCGAGTGCTGGAGAGGTGTATGAATGCTGGCTAGATTTAGGAGAGTATGATTTCAATTCAGGTTACATTTTCACTTCTTAAGGTGGTTTTTTGAATGTTTGTGTGTTACTAGTAGGCTTGTCTAATGATTTCTTCTTGAATATTATAAATTATTTTTCATGAATGATAGATAGTTTAAAGTTCTTTTAAGGAAACAATTACAATAAGTATTTTTGCTCTGATCATAAACATGCTAAATGTTCACTAAAGCAAATTACAGGGACTGCTGTAGACAGCATTTTGTTAACATCTTCAGCAGGCTCTGCATTGGCAGAAATAATGCTGCATCGTTCCTTTACAGTGTATGGATAGAGCTGCCTCTGAGTATGTATTCTGAATTGGTGAAGCTTTATCATCATATTTTTCTGTTTTGTTTGGAATACTCATATGTAAAGAGTTTTTCAGCTAAAATGAACATGCAGATGAAGATGGGAGATATATTAGAGCCTTTCATCAGTATTCAGTTCTGCTCTAGAGCAGTACTGTCCAATAGAACTTTCTGTGATGATGAAAACGTTATGTTCTGTCATCTCTGTTGTTTAATATGATAGCTAGCCACTTGCTACATGTGGCTCTTGAGACCTAAAATATGACCAGTGTGACTGAGGAACTGAATTATAAATTTTATTTAATTTTAATTTGACTAGCCACATATGGCGTATACAGCACTGTATTAGACATGCTGTTCTAGAATTTCTCATTATAAATATTTTCTTGTTGTTGTTGTTAGGTGCTGTGGGGTTGGTTCCGACTCATAGTGACCCCACGTACAACAGAAAGAAATGTTGCCAGGTCCTGCGCCATCCTCACAATTGTTGCTGTGTTTGAGCCCATTGTTGGCAGCCACTGCGTCAGTCCATCTCCTTGAGGATCTTCCTCTTTTTTGCTGACCCTCTTCTTCTAGCTAGTACTTTATTCTACTTCCCTTCACAGCCATGTCTTCTTTATTTTTATTTTTTTTAATTAAAACATTTTTGTTGTTGTTGAGGTGAAATTCACGTATTGTTGTTGTTAGTTGTTGAATTGATCCCAACTCACGGGAACCCCATGTGTGCAGAGTAGAACTGTGCTCCATGAGGTTTTCAAGGCTGTGACTTTTCAGAAGCAGATCACCAGGGCTGTCTTCTGAGGCACCTCTGGGTGGTTCCTGAATTCACATATCATACAGTTCAGAGTTTTAAAATGTACAGTTCAGTGGTGTTTCGTGTATTCACAATGTTGTGCAACCACCAACTCTCTGTAGTTTTCAGAACCTTTTCATCAACCCCATAAAAACCCGTCATATACATTAAGTAATTATTCCCCATTCTCCCTTCCCTCCATCTCCTGGTAACCTCTAATCTGCTTGCTGTCCCTATCTGTTTGCCTATTCTGGATATAGCATATGAAAGGAATCATTTAATATGTGGCCTTCTGTGTCTGACTTCTTTCACTTAGCATAATGTTTTCGAGGTTCATCCAAGTTGTTGCATGTATCAGTACTTCTTATGGATGAATAATATTCTGTTGTATATATATAACACAATTTTTTTGTATCCATTTATGCTTTGGTGGACTACGTTTTGGCTGTTATGAATAATGCTATACTTCTTGAAAGTGATATGTGTGTATATATATATGTATACATGAAGCCCTGGTGGCACAGTGGTTAAGAGCTTGGCTGCTAACCAAAAGGTCGGCAGTTCAAATCCACCAGCCACTCCTCGGAAACTCCGTGGGGCAGTTCTGCTCTGTCCTATAAGGTCGCTGTGAAAATGGCTTGGGCGCGGTGTCTGATCTCCAACCCCACAAGGGGAAACGAGAACCAAAATCAACAGCTCAAGGCTGATTCCTATGAAGTGGAGGTCAGACACGCCTCCTCTCTCTGCCATCTCTACCAATTCTGACACCAACGTCCGTCACACAGCACTCGCTACTTCTCTACTGGGTTCGATAATTCATTGTAATGGCCACACACAACTCACAGACCGTACTCACAATTATGGGGTTTATTAGGGAAGACACTTCAGGCTCAAGAACACTCAGGATACAGTTCTTCCCTCAGGGTAACCTCTCCAAGCTGTGCTTGCAGGCAAACCTCTCCCTGGCCCTCAGTCTCTGCCGGAAGGCTCTCAGCTTTCTCTCTGTGGGCTGGGAAAGCCACTGCGATGTCTCATGCTGCCGGTCTCTCTTTCCTTGGTGGTGGTGGCCTCCTCTCCTCTCCGCTGGAACTGGCTCTCTTTAAGGAAAAACTCTCCAATCCCCTTGGTGGGCCGCAATTACCCTGTCACACAATCACCTAGGTGGGAGTTACAAGCCCATGGCTAGAAAGGCCACACACAAAAGTAATTACACTGCAGTCGTTATGAGTTGGAATTGACTTGATGGCAATGGGTTTGGTTTTTTTTTGGAGCCCTGCTGGCGTAGTGGTTAAGAGCTCAGCTGCTAACCAAAAGGTCGGCAGTTTAAATCCACCAGCAGCTCCTTGGAAACCCTTTGGGACAGTTCTACTCTGTCCTATGGGATTGCTATGAGTCGGAACCGACTTGACGGCACCTAACAACAGCATATATATGTCTTGGTCTGGAAGCTCAGCTGAAACCTGTCCGCCATGGGTATCTCTGCTGGTATTTGAGTGCTGGTGGCGTAGCTTCCAGCATCACAGCAACATGTAAGCCCCCACAGTATGACAAACTGACAGACATGTGGGGGACATAATGTATGTATGCACATGTATGTATATATGTGTGTATGTGTATGGTTTTCATTTTATCTCCCATTCATTCTTTTTTTTAAGCACCACTTCCAATTCATATTTGCATGTGGGTAAAAAAATTACATACAAAGTGGATATCTCATCCCCCATTCCTAGCCCTACCCCCAGAGACAATCGTTTTTATCGTAACTTGATTTTTGTCTTTCTGGTGGTTCTTTCTATAATTAATATAAAATTTTTCCGTCTATTTTCTTGAGATATCAACTTTATATAATCATTATAGACTCTCCCTTAAGAAAGAAGAGGCTGTAATTCAAATTAACACCTAGCTCCCTTCCTATCTAATTTAGATCAATATATGATTATTTTTAATTCTGTTACTTAATTTTGTAACTTTAAATACTTTTTATGTCTTCCTTATTAATTCTAGGCAATATCTCCTGACTTTCCACCATGTAAGATGAGAATATCAGTTCCCCTTGCTTTTCTTCTACCTTTCTTCTGTTTGCCACCTCCCACCTTCACTCAGCTATATCTTTCCTTTTACATTATCAGGTTTGATAATATTTATGTTCTGTGCCTTTCCCACAATTCTGTCTTCTGTGTCTTGTCTATAGACGGATACTGAAAGTTGAGAACAAATAAATAACAATTACGTTTTCTTTTTGGGTACATTGTTACTATCAATCCTTGTGCCACTTAAAGTGATTTCTCCTTATTCCATGAGTTGCTCAAAATCTTTTAGTTTGCTCTGTACTTATACTGTGACTTTCTTGTTTCATTTCTGTTTTGCCTGGAGTTTCAAGTTGCCTTTTCCCCCTTGTTGATGTGCTTTCATCATATCTTCAGATTTTCAAGTCTTTTAATCATACTACCTATTACTGCGTGGAATCCACTTTCATCCCAGAGACAACTTTCCAAAGCCCTTTCACCCCTGCTCCTGTCTCAACTGATTGTTCTCCGGGTCTGCTGCACAGCTTTTATCCTGGGATTTGCTATCAGTATTACACTCCTGGCTTGGTTCAGCTGTTCCCTGGATTCTGTTTCTTCCACTTTATTTGTTTTCTCCCTCAATTTTATGAAATAATCATCAGAAAGGGTGTGTGGCAGGTAAACTTTGAGTTCTTCAAAGTCTGAAAATCTTTTTATTTCTCTCTTGTACTTGATCGATAATTTGGCTTGATATAGAATTACAGCTTCCTCAAAAAATTTTGCTCAGAAATTAAAGGCATTGTTCCACTGATTTCTAGTATCCAATGTTGCTGTTGAGATGTCTGACGGAATATCTAACTTTTGTTTCTTTGTATGTGACCTGCTTTTTTTCTGTAGAAGCCTTTAGGACTCCTTTATTTTTATTCTGAAATTGCACTAGCTGTGTCTAAATGTGGGTCTTTTCTGATTGGCTCTGTGAGAACTTTCAATCTGATGACACATGCCTTTCTTCAGTTTTGGGAAATTGGATGTTGACCTTCCTAAATTTTCTCATGTATTTGGCTTTTTAGCTTCCTCTCTATATTTTGGAAGATTTCTTCCAGTTTATATTCAAGCCTGCCTTTTGGATTTCTTTATTTCACCAATTGTATTTTTAATTTGCAAGCAAGGGCCCTTTCTTACTGTCTGAGTGTCCCTTTTTCATGCTGGGACATTTTGCTTGTTATGGATACATCTTCCAGACTCTTCTCAGGATACCACTTAGAATTTTGTTAAAATTTCTTACGTATTTTAATTGTCTTTTATTTATGGTCTTTTGTTCTGTTTTTTATTGTGGCTTTTTTCTTTCATGCTGATTTTCCTCATATAGCTGGTGATCCTTGATTTGTCCATTCATATTTTAGAGTAAATGACTAGGTTGAATGTTATCGGTAACTGGCGTAAGTGTTCTCTTCTGTAGTATAGATAGGTGTAGGTCTGTTTCCCAATAGACTTTCCCTTAAGTAGTTGCTTTGTTTATATGGGCATGATATGCTAACTGAAGGCTTCCTTTTAGGGTGTGCAATTAGAATCCAGATATTACGTTGGAGCTACCACGTTTGCTCCCCCCCAACCCTGTTTTTTTCGTCTTGGTGGGTAGGCAGAGGAGTAGTGAGCAAAAGCTTGACTGGCATGACTGAACAGTAGACAAACTTTAAATAACTCCTCAGTTTTCAGTCCTACTTCTCATTGTCTCCCCTGTACCTGTCCACTTTGAGCCTGTCGCCTTTTCAGGGTTCCCGCAGGAAGACTGGGTTTCACCTGTAGCTTCCTTGTGTTGTTATTCTTGGTTGCTGTCAACTTGGCCCTGACTCATGGCGACCTTATGTTTCTGCATAACAGAATGAAACATTGCCTGGTTTTGTGCCGTCTTCACAATTGTTGGTATGCTTAAGTCCATTGTTGTGGCCACTGCATAATTTGAATGCCTTCCAACCTAGAAGGCTCATCTTTCAGCACTCTATCGAACAATATTCTGTTGTGATCTGTAAAGTTTTCATTGGCTAATTTTTGTAAGTAGATTGCCAGGTCTTTATCCTTCTAGTCTGTCTTAGTCTGGAAGCTCCACTGAAACCTGTCCACTATGGATGACCCTGCTGGTATTTGAAATACCAGTAGCATAGCTTCCATCATCATAGCAACACGCCTGCAAGCCACCACAGTATGACAAACTGACAGATGGGTGGTGTAGATACTGTAACTTCCTTGTAGTATAAACGTATTTTGGGCTGTAGCTTCTGATCAGTTTCATTCTTTCACACATTTGCCATTCACTCTGACTTCCAGAAATTTGTTGAAATACCACATTCACTGAAGACTGTCTTCCCAGACTATCCTCTGTACTGATATGTGTTTATTGACTCTTATGCCTCCTTACTGTTGTTTCAGTGGAAGGAGGCAAGGCAGATGGGTGCTCAGTCTGCTGTTTTGAACGAGAAGCATCCACTGTCCCAAGTTATTCTTTAGAATTCCACCAAACCACTTTTGCTAAAAGGCTCCAGTGACCTCTGTATTACTAAGTCCAGTGTACATTTTTTTGTCTTTATCTTGCCATATCTTACAGTAGCATTACACATAGTTGACCACTCCCTCTTTTGTGAAACAATCTCCTCTCTTTATTTCTTTGATACCTCTTTCTTGTGATATTTTTCTTATTTCCCTAGCTGTTCCATTTCAGTACTTTGCTAGCTTTCCCTCCGTTACCTGATCCTGAATGTTGAGTTCCTCATGTCTTGGTACTGGTCTCTTTCTTTTTCTCACTCTACGCTTTCTCTCTAGGTAATCTTACAGCCTCCAATACCTTTTATATGACAGTGACTTCCAGTTTTATATGTTAGCCCAGATATCTCTTTTGAGCTTCTGACCCATATATCCATCTACTTGAGTGACTGTCCACTTGGGTAGATACATGGGTAAATCATAAGGCATTTAAACTTAGCATGTTCAAACCTGAATTCTTGATAACCTCCTTGCCTCAAGTCTGCTGTTTTTCTTGTCTTCTCCATCTCAGTAAATGGCATCACCATCCACTCAGTTGTGCATGCCATGCTGATTCGTGTGTTTCCCTCTACCCCACTTCCAGTTCATCACTCTTAGTTCTATCACCAAAATATTTCTCATATCTGTTACTTCACTTTATCTCTGTTGCCAGTGCACTTTAGTCAAAGTTACTATCATTTTTCTCTTAAACTACTGCAACTGTTTACTGGTCTCCCTACTTCCATTCCTGCCACCTTCCAGTTATCCATAGCCAGAGTGATCTTTTTAAATGTAAATCAAATTGTTGCCACAACTTTTGTAGATTTCCGTTGCTCTTAGATTAAATTATAAAATCCCTAACATGGCCTAAAAGGCTCATTGAGAAATGGCCCCTGCACAAGTGCCCAGCCTCAGATTTTCCATTTCTCCCCTCATTGCTATGCTACAGCTAGACTGGCCTCCTTTTTACGCTGTTTCCTCTTTTAGGGTCTTCACATAAGTCGTTCTCTCTGCCTTTTGCTCTGCTTTCTGCCATATACTTAATCATTTTAAATTTTACTTCCTCAGAGAGAACTTTAGATACTGACACTCCCACTACAGGAGTCCCAGATATGTGTTAATATATGTGTTAAAATGTGAGCTTGAAAGATGTCTTTTCACGAGGATACTGACAAATGGTTTAAGGAATATAAAAAGTCCATGTACTTGATTGTTAGGGATTGCATTTCTGGCATAAGCCCTGCTGAAAATGCTTTAGGTATTCAAAGGCCAAACCCTTCTGTTGAAATACTTCTCCAGCTTTTCTATGATGGGCTAATGAGACAATTATACTGCCAATCTATGGCAAAATAATACATATTTATTTATTATTTCTTAATTCTTATCTACAGTATTGAGGAGGACTGTTCAAACTCGTCCTGCCCCACGCATTCCTCCAACTGTGGAAATAATTGAGAAGGAACAAAATGGGGAAAAAAAGACCTTCCCTCCTGGTACAGATGTTCAGAATTCAAACGAAGAGAATCGTCTCTTCACTCAGAGGTGGAGGGTTTCTCACATGGGAGAAGATTTGGAGAACAAAAACCAGGCTCCTTTTGTCAGTCTGTCACAGCCCCGCTGCAATTCCCATTCAAACACCCAGCAGTCAAGAAGCCCTGTGTTCTCAGATGAGCCTCCAGTATTGGGAGATGGGCAACAACTTGGAACAAATGAGGCCCTGATACAAAGAAAGGACATGATGGCACGAATTGCTAAGTTGGCACTGCAGAATTCAGCTATCAAGGCACATCTGAATAATATTGGGCCAGGGGGAGAGCGAGGAGATGGACCTCGGGCGTTAAACAAACAGGAAAGTGCAAGCGACATGAGTGCCGTGAGTACCAGTGAAGGAGTGGCTGGGGATACATAGGAGCTCACTTACACACTTGGGCGTCATAGGGGACTTCTCTCCAGAAGTGACTCTGGGTGTCTTGAAGACTGCCACCGGATGGCTTAGGCTTGACAGGGCCTTGTTCCAGAATAGGTAGCCGTTGTTTATCAGTACATACTGCACATGAAATACAGCAAGACAACATAAAATAAAAACATAAGTGAATGAGGAAACTAGGGCAATGGGAAAATGTGTAGGAAAGCTAAGATTAAGCTAGGCATGAAGTTTTAAATATAAAATGTAGAATTAATACTGCTAGTTTGCCACATGTCTACAGTTGCATTGAAAGCATTCCTACTCTTAAAGTGGTTCCTAAAAGAGAACTATGTATAGTTGACCCTCAATTCATGAAGAGTTACTTTTTTAGGAGATAGAATGCATTTTCCCATAGAAATGATGTTTTAAAGGATTGTTAGAGTCAGACTTTAATGTACATCCAAATCACCTGGGGATCTTGCTAAAATGCAGTTTCTGATTGAGTAGGTCTGGGATAGGTCTGTGTATTTCTAATAAGTTCCCAATTGATGTCAGTGCTGCTGATCCAAGGACCACACTTTTGAGTAGCAAAGGTCTACATATTGTGCAGGAATTTTGTAAGTTAGATAAACCTTGTGGGGTAACCTGGTAACCTAAACATTTATTTCATTGTTTGTGGGAAGAAAACAGATTTTAAGTTCCAGCTGGGAGATATTTGTAGCATACCTCCTTGTACTGGTTCCAGTGATGAAAGACACTTCCTTTGACTTCGTTGTGAACTAAGATGGCGCCCACCAGGCTTCTGATAGGGGATGCAACAGTGTTTTAGCAGTGGGAAAGAGCTAGACAGCTTCATGGATTAGGCGTTCCTGAGGTGACTGCTTTCATAGGGGCTTTAAAACAGTGGATCAAGGGCTTTAATGAGGAAGGTTAGGGGGAGCTGGAGGGGTGAGGACCACCTGTCAGTGATGGCTCATGGGAAACAAGGGCAGTGTGGACACTGAGTCACAGAATTAGTGGTTGGAAGGGACTGGCAGGAGGGAGGCCAGGGAAAGAGTGTTGGGAATAGACAGCTGCTGTCAGTGCGGGTGTGTAAATGCCAGCCACCTTAATTTTGAGTCACTGGGAGGCCTTCTGATGTTTGCAGAGTTTTGAAGGTTATTTGAAACAGTAACACTTGGTTTGAAAAAGGTAACAAAGTTAAATACTGAGTTTGCCTCCTTTTTAAATTGGTATATAGATCAGGCTGGGGAGGACGATCTGATATTCCTGCCCTTACCACCCTTTTTGTTATAATTGGAAATACAAAATGATCCTTACTTCGTTTTTTTTCACTCTTTTTATTACTAATGGGCATAAGCTAGAAATTAGTAATTTCTATTACGGATGGGTTCCCCACCTCCCCAAAGGGACATATTTAGCAAAATGAAATAATTAGGAATGATATAAGTGCATTCCTTTTGGGAATTTTTAAATTAAATTTATGTTAAAGTCCTAGATATGTTTTTCTGTACCTCTCTTTCCAACCATGAACTATTATTCAATCACCTATCTTAGGCCAAAAGTAGCCTGGGGAGGCTGTCACATATTTAGAAGGAGTGATAAAGCTGCTTGCAATCTTTGCCAAATAACTCATCGTATATGTTTGAAGATTATAGAAGCATCTATTTCAACTACAGCAGATCCTCTTGTGTTTTATATATTGTGATTGAAACTCAGATTTGCCATTAATAGGTATGTGGCCTTTAGCATATCTCCAGAGGGCAGGTTACCAGGAGTCTCTTTGTGTGATCTTTTGTGCAGCTCAACAAAACACTAGAGGACTCTGGAAAGCTTTGTCCTGCAGACTGTCCACAAACAAAGGGACTAAAGAGCTTATGTGGCACCCGTAGAGGGACTAGTATCCCTTTACTTTGTCCTAATTTTTTAAGGAAGTGATTTGTAAATTATTTGCCCATTATTCAAGTTTGCATATAGCAAGGGCTATGAATACGAACTTGCTGGTTCTTACGGGAGAATTTATTTTTACAAAAAGTCAAAGTTTGTGTGTTTTTTTTTTTTTTTCTCAGTATTGAATTTGTGTCTTTTTTGTTTTTTTTTTTAAAGACTTTTCCAGCAGCACAACCTCTAGCAAGTAGCATGGAGGAACGGATCGCAGAATTGAATCGACAGAGTATGGAGGCTCGCGGAAAACTGTTGCAGTTGATAGAGCAGCAGAAACTTGTCTGCTTGAATTCTACGTCTCTGCTGGGATCACCTGCTCAGTCACCTCTCAAAGCATGGACTGGTTGGTTACAAATTAGTGATTTAAAACTAGAAACATGAAAGTTTTTCTGTGATTTTGCAAGTCCACATTGAGTCTTAAAGAGCATATATTCCAGTGCCTTCAATTTTACACAGGAAAAAAACAGACCTAGGTCACAGAATAAGTGACAGAAGTAGAACTAGAAGGCAGGTCTCCTGATTCTTAGTGTAATAATCCTTCTGTCTCATGATGCGTGAAGTTGATCACTGCTATGCCGGTTCCTAAGTTGTCCTGCATGTAGATGGGATTTATTACTGTATATGATTTCACTTGTGACACATGCTGTGGCTGATGTATAAAATATAAGCGTCAGAGTGATAATTTAGAATTTTATCAGCAACAAACTATAAGTTGTTGTTGTTAAAGACCATTAAAATTTTTTTATTTGTAAATTAAACTTTTTATTCCGTTGTTACATTTAGGAGTATGAAAAGCTAGAAGGAATCAGTAACTTTAAAATTACTTGTCATAGTATTCATATTCAAAAAGGTACTGATGAAACGAACTAGATTTCAGGTTGCTTTTTAGCCAAAGATTGAATTATTGAGACCCTCGAGTGGTAGAGTTGTGTGAAGGCTTTAGAGAGACCGACTTGGGGCCAGTTTAAGGAAGGTTCTCACTGTCAGGATTAGAAAAAGCTCTGCTACAGTAGGTAGTGTGTTGAGGAATTTAAGCATAGGGGCCACTAGTTTTAGAGGGGTTCACATATCCTGTGGCTGGTTAAAGTAGATTATCTTCAAGGCATCTGCCAGTTAGAGTTTTTCACTCATTTAGAAGTTATTTCCATTTTGAAATTATAGACCCAGAAAGCAGACTGTCTTAGAAAGTACTGGAAAATGATGGGTAATACATTTTCCTGGGGCCCTTTGTCTTTGTTTATTCTAGGATTTCTTTAAATGATGGTTACTGTTCTTCATAGTCATAAAGTCTAAAGGCAACTTCAGATTAGAATAAGTTAAATCACCCACTCAAATGTGAATGAACAGCTACTATGTGCCTGGCATGTTCTGAGTGCTAGAGATACAGCACTGAACAGGACAGTCCCTGCCCATCTTGAATGCTTCAGCAGTCAAGTTGAGGAGTAAGCAATAAATGAATAAACAAATAAGTATATGATATAATATCAGTTAGTGCTAAGTGAAAAATAAAGCAGATCACCCTTAAGAAGAACTTTGCAGGAGAAGGCCCAAGGTGGCAGCTTAGTCACACATACCACATCATCATCCCCTTACAGCAAAGAACTGAGAACCCAAGTGAACGGATACAGATGGTAATCTGGGAATCCGGAACAGCAAACAGAAGGATGAAGAATTAGATAGCACAGTGACGGGATGGTGAAACTGAATGAAAACAGTGAACGAGGAGATTTATGGACTGTAGGCGCCCTGCCAGTCAGCCTGGCGCAGCATGACCATCTTGAGACAAAGCGAACATTGTTCCCGGGAGAAGAGCACAGGAAGGTAACTTCATAAAATTTCCAATAGGAGGCAGAGATACTGTGTAGACAAACCCAGAGTGAAGCAAGGTGAGCAGAACATGAACTGGATCTAAGGAAGGAAAGTGCAGGAAGACAGGTGAGAGCCCTAGGGATCCAGACAACCATAACAGGGAGGGAGCCAGAAAATAGAGACAGAACTATTCACCAGCAGTGGCCCCTGATCATTTGGGTGGGTAGTGCTGGCACAGTGGAGGATCCTTGGAGTGGCAGTTAGAGATCTCTGACCTGACTGGACTCTGGACAGCCCCTTCTTGCATTTTGTTGGAGCCGGGTCCTGATGACTGGCTGCACTCTGCGGGGAGTGCACCAGTGCCCATGTGAGAGACTAGGGGAACACTCTCCCCATCTTTGCCTCTCCCCTACCCTCCCGGTGACCAGCAGTGTGCCCCCTTATCCCCGCCCCCTGCCTGGCTATCCATGGCACGCACTCCTGTGCTGTTGGACCTGCAACTGGAGGCTCGTGCCCATTCCACCCATCTCCGTGCTGCCCCACCTGCCCGGCGATCAGTGGTGTGCACTCCTGCCACCAAACTGGCAACCGGAGGTGTGAGACCCTCCTCTCCCCCACCCTGCCACCCCACCCACCTAGTGACTGGTGGTGCGAGTTCCCATGCTACCCAGCCGGTGACTGGTAACCCGTGCACCCTTTCCCTGACCACCTGGCAACTGGTGGTGTGCACACACAGCGCCTATCCCAGTGACCAGGAAGAACGCTTCCTGCATCCATGCCTTGGTGACTGGATGGACAGACACATCCTCTCATCAGCAGTTCCAGTCACATCCTGAAAGGTGCCATCTGCACCTCTGCCAAACAACAAGCAGAAGATCCTAGTGCCCTCATCCAATGTCCATCTGGCTGCAGTGTCACACATTGCACACCCAAACAGTTCCTGTAGGCCATCTGCACTTGCACTAAAACCCCACCACCTACTAAGACACCAATTTATGTATGTACAGCAGGCCTACCCCATCCATTTGGGAAGCACCCCCTCACAGCAGATGCAGAGACGTCCTGCCCTGACCTACAGAGATGCACAAACTGTTGCACCAACCAAAGGAATCCATGGTCCCACAAGGGCTATGGAGGGACACTGACCACCCAAACTTGTCACCCAATATCAGAGAAGGAACTTGCTTTCCCACCTGCACTCAATCCAGTAAGGGAAGACATATGAGCCTAACCACAGAGGACTCACACATGGGTGTGACCAGCGATCCCCAGTAGTGAGAGGAAGTCATGCTCAGCCAACAGACACCACCAAAGGCACACATAGACCAGAACCACAAAACAACAATTAAAATAATAAAAAGGAAAAAGACATTCCAAAGGAAAAAAAGAAGAAACAAAGCTCCAGATACATCAAAACAAAACAAAAAAATCAGCACAAAACATACATACAATCAAAGAAATTTATAAAAAAAATAAAACCTAAATGCCTCGGAGACAGCAGACAATAAGAAATCATATGAAGAAACAGGATAAGATGGTCCAAACAAGTGAGCAAAATAAAGGTGTAGAAAACCTACCTGAGGAGGAAATGGTAATAGAACTAGCAATTCAAAGACTTATATATAGGATCCTCAAAGAGATCAAGGAAAACACACACAAAACCCTAAAAAAATTCAGGAAAACAGTACGAGAACAAAATGACAAAATAAATAGACAATTAGAAACCATACAAAAACAACAATTAGAAATCCAGGTGATTAACAATAAATATCAGAAATAGATAACTCAATGGAAGGGCATAGAAATAGAATTGAATCAATGGAAGAAAGAATCAGTGAAATAGAGGACAAATCTTTTGATACCAATTTGTTTGAGGAACAATCAGAAAAATGAAGAAAGCCTAAGAGTTATGTGGGACACCATTAAGAGGAATATTTTACGTGTAATAGGAATTCCAGAAGAGGAGGAGAAAAGAAAAGTACAGAGAGAATTTTTGAAGATTTATTGGCAGAAAACTTTTCTAATATTATGAAAGACAAGAAGGTTTCCATCCAAGAAGCTCAACGAATCCCATACAGGATAGACTCCAAAAGAAAGTCATCAAGACATATGATAATCAAACTTTCCAAAACCAAAGACAAAGAAAGAATTCTAAGAGCAGCTTGTGAAAAATGAAGTGTCACCTACAAAGGGGGCACCAGTAAGACTAGTGTTGATTTCTTGACAGAAACCATCCAGGCAAGAAAGCAATGGGATGACATATATAGAGCTCTGAAAGAAAAGAATTGCCAACCAAGAATCATATTTCCAACAAAACTGTCTTTCAAATATGATGATGAAACTAGGGCATTCCAAGAAAAACAGAAATTAAGGGAATTTGTACAAACCGGACCAACTTTACGAGTAATATTAAAGGAAGCCCTTTAGACAGAGAACCAACGACATTAGACAACAACCTGAGGTTAAGACACATGACAGCATCTGCCAGATACCAACTTAGATAAAGAATTCTCAAAAGTAAAAGTTGCAAAACTGAAAACAGGGAACCAGAGATGTCAATCTGTAAATGACAACAACTTCAAAACAAAAACGAGGAATAAATGATGTAGTTTATAGAACTTCCATATGGAGGGGAAGTCAAGACAATATCAAGATAGACTGTTTTAAACTTAGGAAGATAAAGGTAAATTTCAGAATAACCACAAAGAAAATTAATAAATCTACTTGTCAAAAAGAACATTTCAAGATCTATTCTGAGGTACAACGCTGTCAATGATAGGATAATATCTGTACGCCTACAAGGAAGACCAGTTAGTACGATTATTATTCAAATTTACACACCAACCACTAAGCCCAAAGATGAAGAAATTGCAGATTATTACCTGCTTCTGCAGTCTGAAATTGATGAAACATGCAATCAGGATGTATTGATAATTACAGGTGATGGGAATGCTAAAGTTGGAAACAAAGAAGGATCGGTAGTTGGAAAATATGGCCTTGGTGCTAGAAATGATGCTGGAGATCGCATGATAGAATTTTGCAAGACCAATGACTTCTTCATTGCAAATACCTTTTTTCACCAACATAAACGGTGACTATACACATGGACCTCACCAGAAGGAATACACAGGAATCAAAACGACTATATCTGTGGAAAAAGACGATGGAAAAGGTCAATATCATCAGTAAGAACAAGGCCAGGAGCCTACTGCAAAACAGACCATCAATTGCTTATATGCAACTTCAAGTTGAAACTGAAGAAAATTAGAACAACTCCATGAGATCCAAAGTATGACCTTGAGTATATCCCACCTGAATTTAGAGACCATCTCAAGAATAGATTTGACACGTTGAACACTAATGACCGAAGACCAGATGAGTTGTGGAATGACATCAAGGACATCATACATGAAGAAAGCAAGAGGTTGTTAAAAAGATAGGAAAGAAAGAAAAGACCAAAATATATGTCAGAAGAGACTCTGACAACTTGCTCTTAAACGTTGAGAAGCTAAAGCAAAAGGAAGAAACAATGAA